AAAGGCTTGGTTTGAACCTCGATATGTCCTCGACATCAAAAAACGAAAGGTTTGTTTATCAACCTGGTACGCCTGCGACGTCAGAAGGTCAGTTGTTGTGTAAACCCTAGTGTGTCCTCAACTTCAAAAACGAAAGGATCTTTGTAAACCTTGGTGTGCCCCCATCCTCAAAAGCGAAAGCATTTTGTAAACACGTTTAAGCGAAAGGGTTTTTTGTAAACCCTAGCAAAGGACTTTTGCCAGCCCTAGCGTGCCCTCAACCTCAAAAACGAAAGCTCCGTTTAAATATTCAAATCTCTCAAAATCCTTAAAGCCTAGAACATTTCAGCGGAGAAGAAGGCAAGGGTTTTCCCCCACCTTCGGTGTGGGGTTGTTAGATTTTAACTTCAACTCTTCTCCTCGCCCGGAACTCTTCTCCTCGCCCGGAACTCTTCTCCTCGCCCGGTCTACTCCTAGAGACTCCCTGGACTGCCCAATTACAGAAATTCAAGACTTCCCGAATTGCCCAGCCAGAGACTCCTGGAGTGCCCAACCCCAGGGTCTCCCTGGAGTGCCCAGAGTTTCCCGAAATCCCCAGCCCCAGAGTTTTTTCAGAGTCTTCCTGGAGTCCCCAAGTCTTTTAGAGTGCACAGTTTTCCCCAGAGTCTCCCTGGAGTGCCCAACCCCAGAGACTCCCTGCAATGCCCAGAGAGTCTGGAGTGGAGTAGAGTCTTCCTGGAGTGCCCAGTTTAGGGACTTTCTGGAGTGCCCATCCAAATCCCTAAGGTGGGGATGTTCGAAGAAAAATACTTTAAAATTTGAAAGGGGTCCCGGGGTCTCAGGGTGTGGGGGGCAGGCGCTGAGGCGTAGGCGCTTAGGCGCTGAGGAGCTTAGGAGCTTAGGAGGGTTTAAGGATTTAGGGGTAGGCGCTTAGGCGCTTAGGACCTCAGGAGCTTAGGGTTTAGGGTTTAAGGGTTTAGGGGGTAGGCGCTGAGCTTTGGAGCTCAGGGTTTCTGGATCTAGGGGGTAGGCACTCAGGAGCTTAGGAGCTTAGGGTTTAGGGTTTAAGGGTTTAGGGGGTAGGCGCTTGGGCGCTAAGGAGCCTAGGAGCTTAGGAGCTTAGGGTTTAGGGTTTAAGGATTAAGGGGCAGGCGCTGGGCCTCCCCGCCTTTTTAACTTTGAAAAAACCTTAAAACCCTCAAAATCTAGAAGGCCCGGGCTTTCAAGATTTTTAAGGGTTTTAAGGAAATGATAAAATTTAAAAGAAGGTCCCTGGGTCCCGGCTCCTAAGCTCTTAAGCTCCTGAGCGCCTAAGCGCCTACCCCCTAAACCCTTATAGACCTTAAACCCTAAAACCTAGGCTCCTAAGCTCCTAAGCGCCTAGGCGCTTAAGCGCCTACCCCCTAATCCCTTAAACCCTAAACCATCAACTCCTAAGCTCTTAAGCTCCTGAGCGCCTAAGCGCCTAAACCCTAAACCCTAAGCTCCTAAGCTCCTAAGCGCCTAAGCGCCTAAGCGCCTAAGCGCCTACGCCCTAAACCCTGAGACCCTGGGACCCCTTTTTATCTTGAAAACACCTTGCCTTCTTCTCTGCTGAAGTTTTGCTGGAGTTTAAGGACTCTACGCCTTTCGGGATTTTACGGCTTTTAGTATTTGAATGGATCTTTCGTTTTTGAGGTTTTGGGCACGCTAGGGTTTACCAATAACCTTTGCTAGGGTTTCAAAAACTTTCGCTTCAAAGTTAAGGGCGCGCCAGTGTTTACAGAAAACCTTTCAATTGTGATTAATTTGGTCAGGCCGGAAATGTGTCATCTTTTCCGTCTTACAGACATAAGCATGACACATTTCCGGCCGGAAATGTGGGATGATGGGGGATGATGAAGATGATGGGGGATGATGGGGGATGATGGGGGATGACGGGGGATGATGGGGGATGATGAAGATGATGGGGGATGATGAAGATGATGGGGGATGAGGGGGCATGATGAAAATGATGGGGGATGAAGGGGGATGATGAAGATGATGGGGGATGATGGGGGATGATGGTGAATAAATTCTTTAAAAAATTCTAAAATTCAAAAATGTCTTTAAATTCCTCTGGAATTTAGCGAATTTCGGCGTTGTTTTTTAAATTTCATAAAATCCCTAAATTGCTAAATTACGGCTAATTTAGGAATTTAAGGAATTTAAAGAATTTAGGCCTCTGTAAATTCTTTAAATTCCTTAAATTCCTAAATTAAATTAAATTGGTTCTGGGCCCTAATTTTAAATTTTATAAATTCCTTTAATTCCTAAAATTCCTGAAATTCCTGAATTAGGGCTATTTTAGGAATTTAAGGAATTTAAAGACATTAGGCCTCTTTAAATTCTTTAAATTCCTGAAATTCCTAAACTAAATTAAATTGGTTCTGGGCCCTAATTTAAAATTTTTTAAGTTTATTTAAATTCCTTAAATTCCTAAATTAGGGCTAATTTAGGAATTTAAGGAATTTAAAGAATTTAGGCCTCTTTAAATTCTTTAAATTCCTTAAATTCCTAAATTAGCCCTAATTTAGGAATTTAAGGAATTTATAAAATTTTAAATTACGGCCCAGAACCAATTTAATTTAATTTAGGAATTTAAGGAATTTAGAGAATTTCGGCCTCTTTAAATTCTTTAAATTCCTTAAATTCCTAAATTAGGGTTAATTTAGGAATTTAAGGAATTTAAAGAATTTAGGCCTCTTTAAATTCTTTAAATTCCTTAAATTCCTAAATTAAATTAAATTGGTTCTGGGCCCTAATTTAAAATTTTTTAAATTCCTTAAATTCCTTAAATTCCTTAAATTCCTTAAATTCCTTAAATTCCTTAAATTCCTTAAATTCCTTAAATTCCTAAATCAGGGCTAATTTAGGGATTTAAGGAATTTAAAGAATTTAGGCCTCTTTAAATTCTTTAAATTCCTTAAATTCCTAAATTAGCCCTAATTTCGGAATTTAAGGAATTTAAGGAATTTAAGGAATTTATAAAATTTTAATTTACGGCCCAGAACCAATTTAATTTAATTTAGGAATTTAAGGAATTTAAAGAATTTCGGCCTCTTTAAATTCTTTAAATTCCTTAAATTCCTAAATTAGGGCTAATTCAGGAATTTAAGAAATTTAAAGAATTTAGGCCTCTTTAAATTCTTTAAATTCCTGAAATTCCTAAATTAGCCCTAATTTAGGAATTTAAGGAATTTAAGGAATTTAAGGAATTTATAAAATTTTAAATTACGGCCCAGAACCAATTTAAATTAATTTAGGAATTTAAGGAATTTAAAGAATTTCGGCCTCTTTAAATCCTTTAAATTCCTTAAATTCCTAAATTAGGGCTAATTTAGGAATTTAAGGAATTTAACGCATTTAGCCCTCTTTAAATTCTTTAAATTCCTTAACTTCCTAAATTAGCCCTAATTTAGGAATTTAAGGATTTAAAAAAAATTAAATTAAGGCCCGGCCTCCTTAAATTCTTTAAATTCCTTAAATTCCTAAGTTCTGCCTGAAGAAGCCAAGCCACACGCCAAATAGTACATAAAGGTCCTTCGTACTTAGGGCTTAAGGGTCAAGGGTCTAGGGTTACAGGTTTGGGGTTCAGGGTTTAGGGTTTGGGTTCAGGGTTTAGGGCTTGGGGTGGGTTTAGGGGTTAGGGTTTAGGGTTTGGGTTCAGGGTTTCGGGTTTCGGGTTTAGGGGTTAGGGTTGAGGGTTTAGTGGGGCGAAGCATGGCCTTGGGAGCACACCCCATGGGCCAGTAGCATGTTTTTGTCGATGACCTGAGCATCTCAAACGCGCGGCGTTCCAGACCTTCCCGAAGTTTGTGAAACCCTAAGCCCTAAACCCTAAACCCTAAGCCCTAAGCCCTAAACCCTAAACCCTAAAACCTAAACCCTAATCCCTAAACCCTAAAACCTAAACCCTAATCCCTAAACCCTAAAACCTAAAACCTAAACCCTAAACCCTAAACCCTAAACACTCAGATTTCTACGCATCTGCAGCCGCATATTGGGAGCCTCCAGGCCACTCATTTCTACGAGTCTGCAGCATAGGCATTGTATCTTTAGTGATTTTCCAGCAAAGGCTGTAAAGCCCTTACGTGTTGCAGATGAAGCAAACCTCCATTCACGCAGTCCTGCTTTGCAGCAGCGCCTGCTGTGGATTTGGCCAGGACTCGCGCAAGTTGCTAAACCCTAAAACGTAAACCCTAAACCCTAAGCCCTAACAACCCTAGATTTCTACGCGTCTGCAGCCGCATATTGGGAGCTTCCAGGCCGCTCATTTCTACGAGTCTGCAGCATAGGCATTGTATCTTTAGTGATTTTCCAGCAAAGGCTGTAAAGCCTTTACGTGTTGCAGATGAAGCAAACCTCCACCCACGCAGTCCTGCTTTGTAGCAGCGCCTGCTGTGGATTTGGCCAGGACTCGCGCAAGTTGCCTTGCTTTCTGCAAGCGACGAATTCTAGAGGCACGCTATTATCAGCAAGCCTCAACTACCAAAGACTCCGAAAGACTCTTGCGACGACCAAGGAAAAGCGAGCCAATGGTAGAACGAAATATATTGGTGCTAGAACTCATAGCATCAAATACAGTTAGTGATGCTCTCTGAATTAAAACAAAAGGAGGAGGTCAAATCATACATAAAGGTTCCTGCCTCATACATATATATATATATATACATATACATATACATATGCATGTACATATACATATACATATACATATACATACATATATATATATATATAGATATGTACACATATAGGAAAATGAAGACAACTCATAATTTCAAAAGTAATATAATATATCTACACACACACACATATATATATATATTATGTATATACACATATATATATATATAGTCCTGGTGGCCCTGAAGTAGTCTAGGTCTACGCTCACCTTGGCCATGGCCATATCGGTAGATGCACAGCACAAGTACAATCTTCGGTTTGAGCGGATTGCAAGTCCTGTTTGGCAAAGCCTCAGAGCGATGGAGTCTCACCCTTTAATACTGCAGAATGTACTCGCTCCATTGGCACGCCTGGTGGTACTTCTTGAAGCTTCGAATCAAACACCTGAGCAGCAGAACCCACAACGAAAGCTTCAACGAGGTCTAAAATTCCCAAACTGACAGTGGAAGACCCAGGCGCTCTATGTGGAAGGCTGCTATCCCGCATGGCCGAGACAGCTGCAACACCATTTGGGCTTCCTCCAAGACCTTGTCCAGCGCCTGCCAGTACGAGCATGGGAATGACCATTCAACATGCTACACCAACACGTAAGTTTCAACATTGGCACCTCTGGGTCGTCCCCTTTGGCAAACTCCGGCTCGCGTGCACGCAGCGCAGAAAGGTCGGCCCTGCCCAGCCGCAGCACCTCCTCTGCCAGCATCTTGATTTTCTGAGCGGCTTTCAACTGTGTCACTTCCACGGACAGGTTCGCGTGCAGGGCTTTGGCAGCCAATGCGCTGATCCTCACGAACGTTGGCCGTGCTGCTCGAAAGAGTCGGATCTCCGCCGCATCAACTGCTAGCGCGCGAGACAAGCTTCGACAGCTGGGCATCACAGCTAAGCTCTCCCGGAGCTGCGCCACAAGCCAGTCCCGTGCCACCGGCGCCGCGCTTATGACCCGGGACAGGGGCTCCTCACGCAGCCTCCATGCTTCGGGAAACAAGGTCATGTCATTTTTGAGTTGACATTCGTGATAGAGCAAAGAACGGGTTATCGCAAAGCTTGTAAATGCTATGACAAGCAGCATGATGGTGATTGTCTTGCCGTCGAGGTCCTTGGCAAGCGTCCGCTCCTGTGTCATAGTATACTGGTTTAAGCCATTGAGCACTTAAAGCGTGCTGCAGCGATCTGCAGCGCATCCTACTCTTTTATTGGGGGGGCATGTTCTCACGAGTCCATGCATCGGCCCAGCCCTCAAGATCACAAAATCCGAATGCCGCCGACGCGGAAGCAGTCCTCGAGCGGGTCGTGGCCCAGGAGGAATTTCATAACCATCCTCAGTGCACTCCAGACAAGGGTGAAGCCGAAGATGCGCACGCAGGTTTCAGAGTTTCTGAGTATGGGCTCAGGTCATGAAGGGCTTCGGGCGAAGAATTTATAACACCGGGGGGGAAGACTGCTTGCCGGAGATCGGATGCAGGCGCAACCACAACCCACAACATGAAGTCTTCGCGTAGTTGTTCTTATTCAGGAAACGTTCCGCCGTCTTCCCTTGACAACAGCCAAAAAAATAGGTAGCCAACTACGCATCTTATTAGCAGCGACCTAGCAGTTTGTAGTACTAGTAGAACTACCCTAAACCCTAAACCCTAAACCCTAAACCCTAAACCCTAAACCGGCCAAGGGAGCCGAAAGTCGAGCCCAGAATCGCCCTCAAAGTGCACTCCAAGAGAGCCCCAAAAAGCACGGCAAAACCACACGGAAAGCACTCCGAAGACACGCCGAGGCCGCTCGGGTTGTTTTAAAACAAAGGGTTGTTTTAAAGCAACCCGAGATTTGTTTTTAAAACAACCCGAGACTTGTTTTAAAACAACTTTAAGAGCACTCAAGACCGGAGCCCCTGCGCACCCCTCCCAATCAAAACAGAATACCCTTGACATTGGAATTTCAGTGTGGGCACAACGCTTGGAGAATGAAACCGTCAAAGCTTCGCTTCAAAAGCGAGCCCATGTAAACCCCTAGAAAAACCACGTAAACCCTCCGATTAGGGCCGGCAGCCAAACCTCTCTAAGCAAGCAAGAAAAACACGGAGGCCCAGACCCTGGCTCGCACCCGAGCTTGTCGGCCACAGTTTCTTCCAGGGAGCCTGGGTGTCCGGTCTTGCAGGGTCTGAAGGTTGAGGGGTTCTTCAGGGTTTAAGGCTTACGGCTAAGGACGCGATAGCACTTGCTAGCATGCATGTAGTTGCTTGCTAGCATGCTAGAGTACACTAGCTTCAGGGCTCTCCAGGGTTCAGGGCTCTCCGGGGTTCAGGGGCTTTCGGGGCCTTGGAAGGTTTAAGGGGCTTCGGGGCTTGCTCAAGTTGATTTTAGGGGGGGGTTGAGGGTTTTGATTTTGTTTTAGGCTTTTGTGTTTCTTTAACTTGTAACTCGAGTTGGCCTGGGGCTGTGATTGATGCTGCTGGCCCCTCAGGACCCGAGGTCCAAGCTTGCAACAAGAGTTCCTGGACCTTTGTGAGATTCGGAATTCATCGCACTGCACCACTCGGCATGCTGGCATCAACCCACCTCCCAAAGCTCATGCCTCCAAAACATGAGGAACAGCAGCTTACATGAGAACCAATTTAAGGCCACTCAATGAAAAGGGGTGCTATTGGCTGCTCCAAGGATCGCAGCGTATCTTCGGGCGCTGCTGAAATCTTCTCCCGATTTCCACTGAGCAGCGCCACCTGTCAAGCAGCGAGGACCCTAAACTCTAGAATTGAGACTTGGCTGCACTCAGGAGGGTAGCCATAAGTTAAACTCTTAGCTGCCGTAATAAGAAACCCAATCAACCCCAAAAAAGGTAAGGATCTAACGTTACAGTAAAGTACCACAAAAAGGAGAGGTCGACCACTTAGGGCTGCAATTACCTGGCGCGGACCATGGAGGCTTGTAGACAGATCAGTGCAGCTAAGGCCTTGTATCAGGATTCTTGTAGTTACGTTTGCTCAGACCATTGATGCTGATATGAATGGCAATATGCTTCCAGTAGCAAAAGTAGTTTTTTAAGCTTAGGCTTGCAAGTTCCCCGAAATTACCAAAACGACTGGTCGCCAGTTGTCGCCCAAGAAGTGCAGAGGATCTTACTTAGCCTGGAGCCTGGAGGTGTGAAGGCCTCCGGCGGAAAGAGGTGTGGGCGTTACAGAAGCGGTTTAGGGGTCTAAGGGATTCTGGCTTCAAGCACAGATTTTGGGGTTGACTACACGGTCAGCACGCGCTATGTTTGCAAACGGATTAGGGCAGCGTAGCTATCCCAATGATGCTTACCAGCAGGAAGCTAGTAGGCAAGCAGAACCCACCTCCAATCCTTAGGGTTTGGAGTTTAGGGATCCCAGCATCTTGGAGCCAGCTGGCCTCAAAGGTCACATGCGAAGCCGCCATGCCGGCAAGACGAGGCACGGGCCAGAACAGCCAAGCAGTGTGTGGGTTGCACTATGCCTGCACCTCTCTTTGGGACTCTGTTCAACAGCCATTATCGTGCTGGAAGCAGGCTTCCAAACGTGTGTGGTTGAAGTTGGTGCCAGCTGGAAAAGGCTGCAGAAACAAAGTAGTGACCAGTTTGAAGGACAAAGCAGAAGAAACAACAAGTAAAGGTACAAGTAAGTATCTGGTGAAACCTATTTGTGACAAACCGAACCAGCATCTCTCAACCCCAGTCAGGCCCATGATCCCTCCATTCGCCTGCAATTAGGAGGAAGAGTAGCAGTGGCAATAGCAGGCATAGTGACACTTAACTTGACACTAGTCGACGAAATTCCGGTGGTAGTGTAGTATGGGATGATGAAGGGTTTAGGGGTTTTCGCGTTTGGGGTTTCAGGGGCAGAAGGGGAAAGGGCCAGGGGTCCAAGGCCATCGGGATCCACCACCCTGGCGCAACACCACAAATCCTTGTTCCACGCGGGGGCTTGGCATGGCTGGAGTCGAATTAGCCCCCCCCAACCCCCGTGTGCTATAGGGGTTTAGGGTTTAGGGTTTAGGGTTTAGGGTTTAGGGTTTAGGGTTTAGGGTTTAGGGCCTGAATAATTAGAATGGGATTTTGGAGGGTTATTGTGGTATAATTACAAATGGGACCGTAAGGAATACTATTAGTAATTGTTCCGACCCCGTCTGGTTTGCTGCCAGGCCCGGGGGACTTGCCACTGCCGAGGCATCAGCATTAGCTCACCTGTGCTGGAGCACGAACGAAGCGCTCTCGGCTTGCTCTCTGCGCTTGCAACCTAATTGCGGCATGAGGATGGATCTGAACTCTGGACCAATTGTGGTAGCCCAAGCAGTAGCGAAAGTATGCAGAATTACGGCATATGCTAGACCAGACACCTCAAACTGGCCCATCGTTCAAATCTGCCTTGTTGAATTTCGAAATCGACATTATACAGGACAAGCCCTCCTGAGCGAAGCTCGTGGGCAAAAAGCGTTGTCGTGAAATGGAATGGTATTAGCAAACATGCATTGCTGGAAGAAACACAATGCATGTACTGAGTGCACGAACAACTGTTCCTCAAGGTGACAAAAAAGACTTGGATTCTTCAACTAGGTCTAGCATCGGACAGTGTTGCCTGCGCGCAGCAGTGAGTATCTACAAGTGGAGCCGGTCACTTCCGCAACCAAGTCTGGCCAACATTCCAGTGTATGAGTGTCTGTGCGTGCCTGGAAACCTTGCCGATCCATGCGGCACCATCGATCTCACAATAGATCGAATCGGACGATATGGCCTGAAGATGAGAAACGGGTACTCTCATCTTCCATTGAATGTCCCAAATAACGCGGTTCAGATGTATCTCACCGACACAAGAGTTGTCGTTCTCTCGGTACCAAAATCCCTGCAAGTCCTTCCAGACTTCCGCGTCAACAGTAGAAGTGCCAGGATCGTTGCAACGGGGTGTCTGTGGATAGTTGGGTAGGTGGATCACCTCAACTCGGCTAGCTCCATCTTTCTTTCGACAACAGCTGCTTTGACAACAGCCTTGATTCTGAGGGTCTCCACAAAGCTCGCTCCCAAGCAACATGATGCAAAGGAAGGGTGCATCTGCATGCCGTGGAAATAGTCTTTGCTCCACAACAGCTGCGGCATTTGGCACGTCTACATCTGGCCGGTCCTCTAAATGGGGATACACTAGGGGGTTCCTGTCATAAAAACAGTGCTTTTGAAACCTAAACCCTAAACCCATCCATGCAGTTTAGTCCGAAGGACGAGCCCCTCTTCTCAGGCACGGACAATGAGCCACTGCTTGAGCACCAGCGTCAGTGGCCTGCCATTGAGAAGGTGCTAGCCCGAATATGGGTCATGGGTTTTGGGGTAGTTTCTACGATATGTATATTGGGGATTACACGGGGATAATGTCGGGGTTTCCGAACATAGGGGTACCCTTTTTGGGGGTCTTTTTAGGGGATTCTATTCTATTTGAGGTATAAAGGGGTACCCCTATTTGGGAAATACACATGCTGGAAAACTTGTTGGACAAAAACGGTCATTTTGTGTAGTCTACATGCAATTTTTGATAGAGTTATATGTTATAATAAGATAGAAGGAGATCACCTTGGTACTATTGCAGGCTCCGATACTAAACCCTGTGAACAAGTGCAGGAGGTCGGCTTAGGCTTGGCATGCAGACCAACAAACCACTGCAGGAACCTCGGATGCCGCCAAGGGCTTAAGGCTATTTAGGCTTGAGGGCTTAGGGTTTAGGGTTTGGCGTTTAGGGCTTAGGGGCATTTAGGTTATTTAGGGTTTGTGTTGCTTTTTAGGGTGTATGGTTTTCAGGAAGTCTGTTTCGAGAGCGTTACATCTTCCCAGGGCTGCAGTGACTGCTGCGGGCGACAAGGGGTACGAGAGGCCATCTCCCCACTCCTACTCGGTACCTCAACCTTAACCTTAACCCTGAACCCTGAACCTTAAGCCCTAAACCCTAAACCCTAAAGCCTAAACCCTCAACCCTAAACCCTAAACCCTAAACTCAAACCCTCAACCCGTAACCCTTAACCCTAGAAACGCTTGCGCAGGCTTCCAGCAAAGAGGAGCCTGGCCATGGGATAGCGGTTGAGCAGGAAGTTAATGAGCGCCTCCGGGGTTGGTTGTTCAGGTTTAAGGAGGCTTAAGGAGTTTTAAGAAGGCTTAGGGTTTAAAGGTTTAAGGTTGAAGGTTTAGGGTTTAAGGGTTCAAGGGTTTAAGGGCTTAAGGGTTTAAGGGCTTTAGGAACCAAGGGCTTAAGGGGGGGAGGGGGTTCGGCTGTTCGGGTCTAGGGTTGAGCGGTTCCTATGCGGTCTGGGGGTTTGCGGGGATTTGGGTCTTGGGTGAGCAGTAGACCGGGACAACGCCAAAACCCTGGAGCCCTAAACCCTAAAGCCCCAAAGCCCTAAGCCCAACACCCTAAACCTCTTAACCTTAGACCCCAAGCCCAAAACCTCAGGCAAATGTCCAACACCCGTGGCAAGATTTGGGGCTTAGTTGGGGGGCTTTGGCCTTGGGGACTAAGAGGGTCAAGCCGTGCTTCGCGGGCGCACCCTGTTTGCCCTAAACCCTGAACCCCCCAAAATGCCAAAAAAGACTCAGATCGCTAAACCTAGGGCTCCACAAGCACCCTAGACTTCAAAACAGAACCCTGAATCGTATAAACCTTGAACCCTAAACCCTGAACCCCAAACCCTAAACCCTAAACCCTAAACCCTAAACCCTGGCCCTGAACCCTAAACCCTGAACCCGGGATGCCTTGCTGCGCAGGCCCCGGTGGCTCGAGTCGTGGAGGCAAATGTCCACGCGCGTGGAGCCTGCCGACGACGGTCGGCTCAGAGTTCGAAGTACATGGCTGTCGGCTTAGGGTTTAGGGTTTAGGGTTTAGGGTTTAGGGCTTAGGGTTTAGGGTTTAGGGTTTAGGGTTTAGGGTTTAGGGTTTAGGGTTTAGGGTTTAGGGTTTAGGGTTTAGGGTTTAGGGTTTAGGGTTTAGGGTTTAGGGTTTAGGGCTCAGGCTTTAGGGTTCAGGAGTATGGTCATGAATGATCGCATGTGAACGACTCATGGTCGAAAGCTTCGGAGTTCTTGGGAAAGCTGAGCCGCCGAATTGGAGTCTTAACCGCCTTAACTCTCCTGTAGAAAGCCAACAGTCTCACTATGCTCCGGGTGTTGGGAACAACGAGCACGTTGTACAGGGCGAGACGCGGAGCCTGCCAGAAGTTCCTCGCTTTCCGTGGACACCCGCTTCACCTCAGGGGAAGCTTGTCCGGAAGGTGAAGTGCCGCTATGCCACGCCTGCCCCCAACCCTAAATGTGCACGATCTTAAGAGCAAACGTCCGAACCAGGTAACACAGCACAACGGGCAGCCGACAAGCCCCAAAAATGTCAACACAGTGGAGTCCTGACGGGCTTCCACAGGGATGTACTGGGCTTCTGCGCTAGGCCCCAGGAGCGCGACGAAGTGTGAATTCTGTTGCGAGCACCCAAAAGAGCCCTAAATTGCGCAAAGAAGAAGCAAAGCACACGGCCCTTCCCCTCGAATCTGTGAGCACATAGCGTCACCTTGTGCGGCCCCAATCTGTGCACTGTGCACTCAACAGCGCAAAAGTTTGCTTAGGCTAAGTGCTGTTTTGTTTTTAAGCCAGAGTCTTGAACTCTGTGCTCCACCGACCTGCAGAACTCCCCTGTAGAAAATGATCCTTGCCGCCTTGCTTTGCCCCCACGACACCCTTGCAGACCAAGAGAACGAAAGAAAGCTGAGAGTCCAGCTACCCCAAACCCCAACCCTGAACCCCAAACCCTAAACCCTCAGACTGCTGCCGCAACCCCTAAGCACTAGCCCCATATACCATCTGACTGTTCACAGTGTTTGGGAAGTACTTTGCCCACCGCACCACGGCTGGGTACCCCAGCCTCCTCCGGCGCCGTCACGAAGGACAGTACCTGACCAGTAAAACCCTTAGAAAAGGGTTCCTAAAGAAGTTTAGGGTTTAGGGTTTAGGGAGGGCTACTAACGATGACTCTTGAAGGAGAATACAATATCACAAAGGTCTACTTCCCTGAGAACGCTTCAGGGACGAAAACTTACGGACGCACAACCTTGCGCTTTGTGGGTCGTACTTGTTACGCGTCGTTGCCACAAGAACTGCTTGGGCTGTTGGGAGATGCTTAGGCTTTGCGTTCTGGGTGTACAGGAGCTGGGGTAGACTTAAACTGACCCTCAAAACCACCAAGCCCCTAAACCTAGGGCCTAGACATATACATAAATAATATATGCAAGATACTCTTGAGCCCCCAATGGGTGGAACACACATCTTGAGGTCCTTGCTGAACCCTAAACGGAATGGTCCCCGGGCACCGGGATGGCAGCGTGGGCGGCCACGCGAATGGAGTCGCTCAACACCTGGGCGCATGGCGATGGTTTGAATAGGATGGTGGGGGTTTAGGGTTTAGTTTAGGGTTTAGGGTTTAGGGTTTAGGGTTTGGGGTTTAGGGTTTAGGGTTTAGGGTTTAGGGTTTAGGGTTAGTTGAGAACACCCTCCTAAAGCAAGTCTTTCTTAACACCCTTAACCCTAAAGCCCGAAAGTCGAAAGCAACCTCAAAGCGCTAAAGCAGCAAACCCTACAACCATGAAACGTTTCAGGCTAGGGTTGAGGCGTTCTAGGTTTGAGGGGTTTTCGAGTTTTTTGGGTTCTCCTGATGAAATATTCGTGCGATATTCCTGGGCGTGCTGGTCCCTATACCTACTGAGAGAATCCGACCTTAAGCTCCCCGGAACCCCCTAAACCCCCTAAACCCCCCTGAACCTAAGTCCCTTAAATCCCTTCAAGCGCTGACCTCCACTCAGCCGCGGGCCCACTTCTCACGCGCCAGCCGATCTGACAGCTGCTGCTGCCAGGCGGCCGACGAAATGGCCTTCATTTCAGGGTTCAGGTTGGGATGCTCCCCTGATACTAACAGTCCTGAATAGGGATTATAGTACCCCCCCCCCCCCCCTAAGCCCCAAACCCCAAACCCTAAACCCCAAACCCGAAACCCGAAACCACAAACCCCCAACCCTAAACCCGAAACCCTAAACCTCAAACCCTAAACCCTACACCCTGAACCTAAACCCTAAACCTTAGACCCTAAACCCCAAACCCTAAACCCCAAACCCTAAACCCTAAACCCCCGGACTGTTAGTTTTAGGGGGCACATCCCAAGGTTTAGGGCTTAGGTGTCAGTGCCGATAGGGGCCACTGCGCCAGGACCCCACAGCCGGCCTTCACCGAGCGACCGGAGTGCCCTGGCCTCCAGAAGAACGGCTTGGAGTTTACAAGGGTCCAAAAACCCCTAAACCCCCTAAACCCCCTAAAATCCCTAAACCCCCTAAACCCCCCAAGACCCCCAAAACCCCCTGAACCCCTCTGAAGGCCTAATCCAGGTTAGGGACGATAGGGTTTGGCGGAGGTTTGGGTTTCTGGGGCCGCATTTTGCAACCGAGCTGCGAGACTTCTTCCAAGTTCAACTGCCTCAGCTGCTCCTCATCTTCGTCGATAGGAGAGAGGAGGGCCTTCAGCGGCCGGGTTGGAGTACGGGATCTTCCATCTCAGACCTTTGGGGTAGAGGAGCTTAGGCTTTATAGGGTTGTGCCAAAGTCCTACGGAGCCCGCAGAGACTGCGTGCGAGCCCGAGGCTCTCTCAACTACGAACCTTCAATCTTACTCTATCAAGCCTGAACACTGCTGGTTCTTCGTATCGAATGAGGGAATGAGGTACCCTATCTGATCCCTCAGAGGGTGTTTTTGCGCCTAATTCCCTCATTCCCTCCTAGGCACAGGGGGACTGAAAGGGGCTTCGTCTAAATGGGGGGGGGGCGTAGCTCTGGGCTCTAAACCCTAAACCCTAAACCCTAAACCCTAAACCCTAAACCCACAGGCGAGCCGTCAGTGCCTCGGTCGCGTCCGCCTCGTCGCGGCCAAAGCGGCTGGGCTGCACCTGCCAGGTCATCTGGGTTGGCCTTTAAGCCGTCCGAAAAAAAAAGGAAAACAATATGTACATATATATATATACATATATATATATATATATATATATATATATTAGATTTATTTGTATTTATATATATATATATTATACATATAGGGCCCCTTATAAACCCAAATAAAGAAAATACATAATGATCCAAAAACCAACCTAGTCATGTGCTGCTTGCTTCAGCAGCCCCAATGAACTGAAAAGGCAATATTCCCTACATTACCCTGATGAGGAAGAGGATGTTTCATTTTTTTGGTGGTTTACGGGTGCTCCAGCTGTGCTACATAGTTCCTATAGTTGTGGGGCATGCAAAAGTTCGGCCAGGCGTGCGAAGCGATCTGTGCCTCACATACAGGCCTAACAAGTTCGTTCTGAGTTGAGCAGTCTGGGCAGAACCTGAGCCCTTAAACTTGAGACCTTAAACCTGAGCCCTTAAACTTGAGACCTTAAACCTGAGCCCTTAAACTTGAGACCTTAAACCTGAGCCCTTAAACTTGAGACCTTAAACCTGAGACCTTAAACCCTAACCGGGGTCTTTCCGAGCTGGCCAGCCTGAGCAGGGCTCACATCCCCGAACGTGAGTCACTTAAGCCCAGCTAGACCAGCGAAGAAGGCCTTATCTGCTTTCAAGTAGGGTAGTCCAGCAGCCTAAACAAAAAGCCGCGCCAGATTCTGATCCACCCACCTCAGGGACCTATGTTTGGGACCGGACCTGCACTAATCACAAAGCTGTTCTTCCTGGCCGCCTAGAACCCTAAGCCGAACCCTCAACCCTCCCCCCCCCCTCCCCCAAAAAAGGCTAATCCGAAACACTACAACTAAACTCAAAGCCCTCAACGATGAGCCCACAGCACCAAGCAAGGGTCCAACCCTCCAAGGAACTCTCTCCCCCCTCTCTCCCCCCCCCTCTCCCCCCCGCCCCCAATGCCTTGATGAGCAGATCCAGGCCGCTGCTGCGCAATCCCAGGCCCGAGGCGTAGGAGCCGTACCTTGAAGGCTTCTGGGAGAGTTTAGGGGCTTTAGGGTTTAGGGTTTTGGGTGTCGGGGTTGTAGGGTTTAAGGCTTTTAGGGCTTTGCGGGGTTTTAGGATTTAGGGTTTAGGGTGTAGGGGCTTCGGGTTTATGAGGGCTCTGGCACTGAGGAGCAAGGGAGTTCTTCGAAAATGATTCAGGTCTGCTACTCAAGCACAACTCAGAGAAAGCAACAGACAGTAACTTGACAACCTCGTTTCGAAGTTCCTAAATCACACAAGGTCATGAAGACCCAGCAAGGCTCGAGAAGCCGTGGGAAAATCACCCCGAAAATACCTCAAAGCTGCAAAACCCTAAACCCTAAACGTTAAACCCTAAACCCCGAACCCTGAACCCCTAAAACACTAAACCCTGAACCCTGAACCCTAAACCCTAAAACCCTAAAGCTTAAACCCGCGTCTTCCTCCCCTGCCAGGCAGCAGTTCCACGAGGCATCTCGGCCACAGGCTCTGGGCCTCGGTACTTTGGGGGTTTTAGGGTTTTGGGTTTAGGGGTTTAGGGTTTTGGGGTTAGGGTTTTGGGTTTTGGGGTTAGGGTTTTGGGTTTTGGGGTTTAGGGCTTGGGGTTGAGGATTTTAGGGTTTTGGGTTTGGGTTTAGGGTTGGGGTTTAGGGTTTAGAATGCTGACGGTCCTTAAAAGGCCTGTTTGTCGAGCTTCTCAGGGTTTGTAGGGCTTTCCGGGCACCGGCTTGCAGGACTTTGGGGCTAAGGGCTTGCAACTTTAGGGCTTTCGGTCTGAGGGTTTAGAGCTTAGGAGATGAAATCTTGGCAAGGCATGACGTTTGGGGCTGCAGGGTGTGGGGGCTTGTAAAGTGATGAGAATCGCAGAGGACTTTTTCGAGAGATGGCCTATGGCCATGTTCCACGCGATTCTGCTGCCCAGGCGCCTAAACACCTAAACATGTCCTGTCGAATCAAGTGACTACCCTTTAAGATTTTAGAGGGGTAAGGCGACTGCTGAATAAGCAAACCGAAACTACATTATACATGTGTATATATATATATGCCCTACAGCCCGCAAGGAGAGTTCATCTGCATCACGGGGCCCTCCAAAACCGAACCTTAAATCCCAAGTTCTATACCCAAGCCCCCTACGCCTTATAGTACGGGACTTGAAGAACAAAACCAAAAGGCTACCCACCCACCCACCCACACCCACACCCACACCCCCACCCCCACCCCCACCCACACCCACACCCACACCCACACCCACACCCACACACACACACACACGCACACACAAATCTCTCCTAGAGCCGGACAATTCGCTTGCAGTTGGCGATGACGGCCCTCCTGTAGGACGCCTTCCAGATGAAGGGTTTAGGGCTTAGGGCTTAGGGCCAACCCTGTTGAAGGCTTCAGGTTTGAGGATTTGGCGTTTAGGGCGTGCAGGTCTCTGGCAACCCTGCTCACCCACCTCAGAAGTTCCGAGCATCTGAAATCCGAGCATTTCCCGGCAACCCGAAGCACGGAGCGCTAAAACCCCAAACCGCGCAGCGCTTCGGGCAATCTCACCTGGCTCTCCGTCTGCAACTCCACCGCGCGTACGAAGGCGTGGATGGATGCCTTCCGTACCAAGAAGCTTCAGGGTTTAGGGTTTACGGTTTAGGGTTTAGGCTAGGGTTTAGGGTTGAGGGTTTAGGGTTTAAGGGTCCTTAGTTTAGGGTTCGTCTCCCCTACCAAGAACCAGTAAAATAAGAGGCTGAGAAGTTCAGGTGCGGACAGGCGGCATCACTCATGCAGACACAGTTCCCCACCGACCTCACCTAAACCCTAAACCTTTTTGGGGGAATGGGGGGCTTTCAGAAGGGAACCTAATCCCCACGGAAATGGGAGCCTGCGGGGGTCCTAGAGCGTGGCCACCACGAGCGTCGGTTTGCACACGCAGGCAGTCAGCCCCGAAATCCCAGGTCCCACAGGTCCTTCAACCCCAAACCCTATAGTAGGGTTTGGGTTTAGGGTTTAGGGTTTCGGGCTTAGGGTGTAGGATTTAGGGTTTGGGGTTTAGGGTTTAGGGTTTAGGGTTTAGGGTTTAGGGTTTAGGGTTTAGGGCCAGCTAAGGTTGCCTCCAGGACGTCTTGCGCCAGCATTGGCGGAAGCAAGTTGGCCTTTCAGGACTGGGTAGTCGATGGCTGGGGCTGTCTATTAAAAGGCCCTCCAGTACCACAACATTGTGTAACAAGTTTGCAAGACCTTTGATTATTGCAGTACCTATTATGTCATAAAATATGCGTTTATAATGTATAATTGGTATTATACCAAACTATATGCCGATACTGCGGCTTAAACAAAGGTGTCGGTGTGCAGCTTACAAGCAAGTTCGGTGAGCAATGGCACGGATTCATCTGCCTCATGTCAGCGCCCTTGAACACACAACAGCAAGCAGGTCCAGAACAGCAGGTGCATGGCTCAAGGTCAACCCCACACCCGAAGCCCCTAAACCCAATTCCAAAAAGCCACAAAGCCCGAAAGAACACCAGAAACCTCTGCAAATCACACCCCTCCGAAACCCCAAAACCCCTAAAACCCCAAAAAAACCCTAAACCCCAAAACTCTAAAACCCCTAAAGCCCCCTCCCAGACTCCGAACCCGAAGGGATGAACGAACAATTGGGCCCTCCAGTGTCTGGGGATGATTGAGGGGCTTTCTGAGTCGGGATAGGGTTCAAGGCTTAGGATGTAGGTTTTAAGGTCTAAGCCCTGAAACTCTGCCTCAAACGCGTGCGGGGAGGGCCCTGGCGGAGGTGGCACCACCTGGATTGTTACAAAGGGGCGGGGAGGGGGGGGGGGACTCTATCTATAGCTTCAGGGAGTCGAGTGTTCAGATCTTCACAGAGTTGCTTTGCTTTTGCTTACTGGTGGGACTCAAGTACCTTCTATCCCCCTATATCTGCCCTTAGGGTTTACAAAGCCCTAAACCCTAAACCCTAAACCCTAAAACCCTAAACCCGAAGCCCTAAACCCTAAACCCGAAGCCCTAAACCCTAAACCCGAAACCTTCATGCCCCTTACTGTAAGGACCAGTAGAGCTCCTGGGAATCCAAAGGCCGGCCTGGTGCGAAACCATGGAGCGCGGCCCGCGTGCCATCCCGACCTCGTTTACTTTAGGGTTTAGGGTTTAGGGTTTAGGGTTTAGGGTTTAGGGTTTAGGGTTTAGGGTTTAGGGTTTAGGGTTTATGGTTTAGGTTTAGGGTTTAGGGTTTAGGGTTTAGGGTTTAGGGTTTAGGGTTTAGGGTTTAGGGTTTAGGGTTTAGGGTTTAGGGTTTAGGGTTTAGGTTTAGGGTTTAGGGTTTAGGGTTTAGGGTTTAGGGTTTAGGGTTAGGGTTTAGGGTTTAGGGTTTAGGGGGTTTAGGGTTTTAGGGTTTAGGGTTTAGGGTGTAGGGTTTAGGGTTTAGGGTTTAGGGTTTAGGGTTTAGGGTTTAGGGTTTAGGGTTTAGGGTTTAGGGTTTAGGGTTTAGGGTTTAGGGTTTAGGGTTTAGGGTTTAGGGTTTAGGGTTTAGGGTTGGGGTTTTACCAGGGTTTGGGCTAGGTTTTGTAGGGCTTCTGATGAGTGATTTAAGGTTTTTTGGGGGGGGTTCGATAGGGTTTTAAAAAGGTTTTGAGAAGGTTTAGGGTCTCGGGGCTGGAGAATTTTGGGTTGTTTTAGGGTCGGAGTCTGAGGGTCTTTTAAGCTTCTGAAGTGGCAGGGCGGGGTGGGAAAGAGGTTTTAGGGTTAAGGGTTTCGGGGTTTCGGGGTTTAGGGTTTAGGGTTTCAGGTTTAGGGTTCAAGGTTTAGGGTTAGTGGAAGGCTACTGCGGGTTTGGAGTTGCGGGTTTAGGCTCGATTGGCACTTCAAAGCCTCCCATGAACAAGTGTGGCACACCGCCCACAACCTCGTGCCTGAGGATGACTGTCCAAGTGGAGATGGGGTTCCAAATAGCTATGAGCGGGCTCGTTAGTGAGCGGGAACGTTAGTCCCTTTTGAGACCTCTAGGGAACCGAGGTTTTTGAGCCTGTCGGCGAGTTCACCATCTCCCAGAATCAGGGCTTCGCAACTCCACCTGATTCTCCTGAGCAAGTGCTGCCAAAGTTGGCGGAGCAACTGCTGAGGACCAGCTGCCAATCTCCAGAACTCGTAAAGACTTCAGGCGCTGGACGAGGCCGCACGCACCCTCCTCAATCGCCTTGAGCACCTCTTCCGAGACTTCCTGGTCAGGAAATAGCCAGCCGAAGCCCTTGAGCTGTGAACCTTCCAGGGTCGCCAAGAACCTCCTTGCCTGGGCAGCCTCTGTGGAGGGCCCGGTTGTGACGTAGAAGCCGGTGACCGCGCCCAAACAGATGTGCTGGGCCAACCTACACAACTCCTCACCCGCAAAAAGGCTTGAAAGCGAAACCGTGCGGCATTTCGGCGGCCATCGCACATGTGAGAGGGCCCGCGGGAGCAACCCATCGACAGGCGCCTCAGGGCGACCTATTTCAATGATGCGCGCGTAAAGAAGGGGAAATGCATCCAAACACCGCTGCAAGGATGGAACAATCTCCTCTGTTCCCGGGGATACCTCCAATAAGAGAGTGTCTAGTGCTGGCAAGGAGGCAGAGCAGTCCGCTAGCCTTTCCAACATGGATGCCACGGTTGCATCAGGAGTGCTCCGGATAGCCATGTGTAGACTTGTGAGGTTCGCGAAGGCCGGCAAAGCCTTGACAACTTCCTCCGGGTAGCTGTACATGCTGAGATGTTCAAGCTTGGGGCAATGGCGCTTGAGATTCTGGAGCACTGTCACCCAAAGGCTTTGGTCACCAAGGCCGTACTCAACATCAATCGAAACAGCACGTAGTTTCTTGAAAGGGCCGAGCAGCCACCCTAAGCACAAACTGAAGCGGTCACGCTTCTCGGCCTGATTTGCCAACTCTCTGCCATCGCAAATCTCAATCTCAATCACTCCTGCTTTGTCGATGGCTGGCAATGCGCGGAGCATCTGGTCAGTAGTTCCAGGGCCATTGAAGTCATCACAAAAGACGATGATGTATGGGACAACAAGAAGGCCGCTGGCAGAAACGCACATGGACCGAACGTGGTGGCTCGCCACACTGGCTACCGCGATAGTGCAGGGGTGCAGCATTGGCAAAATCCCCTCCCACAGCCATGTCTTCCCCAGTGCCATCATGCAACTGCCTTCTGGAAGTACTACTCTCTCATTTGTGCTGCTTCCTTAATGCTTCTACGAAACGCCTAACAGACACCTTGGATTGATGTCTTCCGCAGTCCCCTTATATGTTTTGGCTATGTTTTCGCGTGGCTATTAGGGTTTGGGGCTTCAGGTTCTTTTTTTAACTTCAAGCTTCAGAACGGACCTTACCAGAGTATCTCGGCTCAAGATCCTGAGCAAGCTTCGCACATGTGCCAGGAAAGACCTTCGCATTCAGGACCGCCGAAGCCCCTCTCCTTCCAATCCACGCGACTAAGCCGAGACAGACATCGGCCTGAACCGCGAATCCCGTAAAACAATATAGGGGCCTTAACAAACAATTAGAATACGGTTCGGGGGGGTGAGTAGAGTAAAATTATAAACGGACCATAAGTAATTATTCCCACCCCTATATTCATGAGGTCTTATGTCCAACTTCTTCAAGCCCTGTCCAGCCCGACAGGAACCCCCAAAGCCCCCCATGCGACCCTCAGATACTTCGAGCTTAAACACCTGATCCCTAAACCCTAAACCCTAAACCTGAAACACTGGGGGCCCTGGGAGCATGGCAGAGGGGAGCGCGGGTCCTCCGTGGCCTGCTTGCGCTTCAGGAAGCAGGGGCTTAGGGGTTCAGGGCTTCGGGTTTCGGGACTGTTCCGATCCCAGTATTGTGGGAAATGAGAAGAGTGTAAATCCACTGTGAAGATCTGGCACAGGTGGGGGGGGGGGGCATATGCCATGGAAGTAGATCCAGTCGTAATGCAGCTATAGATGGCCCGAGACAGCCCACCTGAATGAGCAGAATGCGAAATTTAGCCAAGCCTTGAGAGGCTGTAATTGGAAACCTTGGGTGTGTAACTGTGTAACACAGGTGTTAGGATTGGGTTCTCAGTTGTCAACTGCCTCTGAGGTCGTTGGGGCGTAAAGGCGCAATAGTCAGCGCAGGCTCCTGACACTACTTAGCCCCATCGGACCCCGCATGGTGGGTTCCCTGCATGAGGGTCTCTTCTTGATGCACCATACATCTCAGGGCCCCGCATGTAGCAGGGGGTTTCTATTGCTCTATCTCCAAGGGGACACCACCACATATACACTCACCAAGAATCATAAGGAACCCCAAATACACTCACCAATAAGCCGGCCCTCCTCTCCCAGTTGAGAAGGTCAAAGCCGGCGCGGTTTGCGTCGCCTGCGTGGCAGCTCGAGAGGGGCTTACAAGCTTCAGACACTTGGGGTTCAAGAGTTTTGCGTCTTTTTGACTTTTGGGTTGATGCTTGCGCCAGATACTGCACACCCTAGGCCCTAGACCCTCAAAGCCTGATGCCGAACGGAGCGGCTTCGCTGCAGCGGCTGTGACATCGCCTTGATTGGGGCGCAGTTGGAGACTGGGCACGCAGGGGTTTAGGCTTAGGGTTTTGGTGCGCCGTTTTTTGCTGTCTCTTCTTTTTGTTTTTCCTCCTGCGGGTGTGAGGGTCCAGGGTCGAACTCCCTTCCTGCCTCCTCTCCCTTCTCCACACGTATCAAGAAGATCTGGGGGCACGGCTCCACAAGCAAAACGCAACAAAAGGTTCCCCGATTCGATTCTCAGAGACAATGCTATCTGGGATATATAGGGCTTGCGCAGTACGTGCTTTGCATGCGAACTAAGCTCACATGGGTCGTTGTCGGCAAGTGTTCGGATCCATGCCATACGCATTAAGGCTCACCTAGGAATACAAAGGGTGCCCTTTTGGTCTAGAGGGGCCCTTAAGGGAACCGAAACACTAAAAAAGGTAATAAGTCTGTTGTTGTAAAGAAGCGGAGATTGCCGCACAGCGAGGCAAGAGATCCCAGTGCGTTCTCCGTTCAACCCATACATCCTCGTCGCATGTAGATCAGTAATGGGACAGACCCCAACGACTAAGCTCCGCTCCACCGACGCGATCC